GATGAGAAATGATATTTTAAAAAAAAACACAAGCAGATTTGCAGTGTAAAAATATTATGGCGCCATGTATAAATTATTTCCGCATTCAGTCAAAATGAGAATTCTGAGGGTGTTACCATGGAATAAGTTCTTTGGGAGGATGGAAATTACTGCTCAACTTTTTTTTTTCTTTTTATTTTGCTTTTAAAAATGTACTTGCTGCCAAGATCTCTGGACAAATATATATCATAAAAATACATAAATAAAAACCATGAAGCAAAGTAAAATAATAAGACCAAGAACACACTAAACAAAAACCTCATATTGAGACTCAGATATGAATAAATACCAGCTCAAATAAATATAAAGAAAAAATTGCCAAAATAATATATCCCTTCAACTAAATTTTTCGGTTTCTGAATAATCCATATTCCATATATGACTCTGGAGAATAGGGTGCTTGTGCTTACATCAGGATAGAAGCTACCAGGGCTTCGTGAGGTAAGGAGAATAAATAACATGCCTTCATTGATTTAATAGCTTTTCTTGCACAAAACACTCACATCCCTTTAATTTAGGGACACTATTCAATTAAACACTGATGCTGCCTTTTCCAAAAATATGGCTAGATTCTTTAGGCACCAATATCACAATTTCCTTGTTGAAAGAAAATCAGTAATTTTTAGCCAATGTCCACTGAAAACAAATAAAAGCTGAGCTAGAATTTCAACCAAATATCGACTTGCTATCATATTACTATTTACAAATCTGATGTAAGTCAAGAGCATCAGATTACAGTCTTGGTTTCATCATTCTTGGTGGAAACTTGGCAAGTCATTTACTCTCTCCAGGCTCCAAGTTCCTTGGGAGCTGGACTAGGTGAGTAATTTTCTTTTCTTTCTTGAAGGATTTTTTTTTTAAATCTCTTTCCACATTTCTCTGTAAGACATTTCCACCTCTTCCCCACAATTACTGGGAGTAACTGGTGGTGGGAGATAGAGGAAAAGATGCTGCTGATGGTGAAATCTCAGCACATTTGGGGACTAGAAAACACAAGGGAGATTATGGGGTGGTTGTGACTAAGAGCAGGCACCCAGGAGGGCTCAGCCGGGGACAGGGTGCTGACTCTGCCACTGAGAGTCTATATAACTCTGCACTGCAGCTCACTGCTGGTAAACAAGCTGACATCGGTAATGGGTGAGGAACATGGCCAGATGTTGCGTATTATCACCATTCCTATTATCAAAGGATTTGGTTGCCCTCCACTTTCCTAGGATCCTAACAAATTTGAAGCAAGACAGCCACTGGGATTTGGACGCAGATGCCAATCTGACAGGTTGGGCAGTTACTCAACACCAAAATGCTAGGAAAATGAGTGGGTACACAAAGATGTCACTCTCTTTACCTTTATATGATCCATTTGTTTGTATATTTCTGGCTATCTGGGGTGCTTGGCAAAAGTGAGAAAGGCCATAAGTCAGGGAATAGAATTGTGATCATTCTTCCAGGTGTACCTGGCTGGCCTTCATCCATAATTTTAACCACTGGGGTGTGCTGGGAAATCTAGGCTTGGCTGCAGAACAAACTGAGAGCATCCCCGTGTCTTTGAGAAGCAGCGGTGGGTAGGTTCTGGTGAGGGTTTCGCAGGGATGTGCAATGCCAAGCAGAGGTGGAGGTTTGGCCAGAAAAGGGAGAACAAACAAGCAAATGAAAATCATGTAAGACACTTGGAAGAGTACTGGTGCCAAGGATATAAACTTGTATATGCAATCATCATATTTCAACTCTGTATTTAAAAGGGCGGGGGGGAACTACTCATCTATAAGGAAATTCACTGCTAAAGAGTGAAAATTTCTACAATTGGTTTTATACACTTTTTCAATTCATTGCCTCACAGCTACCCTTTTTCTCTATCCATTGCTTCACAGCAATACATTTTTAGCTAATGGGGCGAGGGAGCAAAGCTGGGCCCCTTTAGGAAATTGGGGAAAATTCATAGTCATTCAGGTTTAGCTTCCAACCAGGCAATGAATATTTATAATTTTATACAGTATCTACTAAATATTACCAAAGATTTTAATAGAAAATGGGAAGGAATATGACAATAAATGTAATGTTATGTTCTGTTAAATGTTTCTGAATTTCAAATTTTAAAAGTCACCTCTACCACAAAATGACAAGCTAAATGGAATAAAAACATTTCTAGCATAATGACTAGACTGTAGACTAATGATTAACTGTGATTGAATCTAGCCGCTCTGAATAGAGTTTGGACTTGAATCACATATATTAGGTGCAATTTAAATTGTTGCTGTACTTATTGAAAATAGGAAGGTAAGTGGCCACCTTCTTATATGATACAGTCCTCTTTCATATAATAAAGAACACATAACCAACAAAGATGCCTAAAATCCAAATGAGAAATCAAGATCTCTGAGAAAGTGGGACCAGAGGCAGAGATGCAAAATGAACACTTTGGGTCAAGAGATTCCAGCAATCATGCAAAATGACTCAGAATAGGAAGCTACTAAAAATAAAGCCCCTCAAAGCACCATCAGGTTCATCCAGGAATATAAAATCCAAACAATAACATTCCACAAGATCCCAGGAAGGCGTCCTGTGCACACCAGCTGATAGTCATCACTGAATACCACCAGGAAATGGTTAAAAAAGTGTTAAGGGAACAAATGGAAAACTGCCCTCATGAATGTACCAGCATTCCTGAAAGGTGACTTAGCAGGATTGCTTTTGTGGGATAAAAAGATAAATCATACAATTGCATGGATGACCTTCATGAAACTGCTCAAAGGGCAGAAATTATCATGAGGACTAATTTTTATAAGTTTTGAAGACAACTCTTCAGAAACTAAGCTCACCAGATCCCATTTATATTTTGGGGAAAAAAAAAATAGCTGAAAGCTTCCTTAAAAAATATCTTAACTTCTCTCCCATCCCAGCCTAATGCAACAACAATGAAACGCACTGTTGTTAAAGAATTCATCACCCCCATGTCAGATCAAATCTTAGCAAAATCAATGTCCTGTCAAATCGACTAACATAAGACCCTTAAGCACATTAGAACAATTTAGAACATACCTGTAAAGAGAGACACAGAGAGAGAGAAAGCAAGAAAGTGGTTTTTTTTTAATAGGAGAAACACATCTGGGTTTAATAATTATAAATCCACAGATATTGAAAGTCATTGATAGACGAATACAGGAAGTACCTGACTCAGTCTTGTTGAATAGCTTTACGCATTATTAAAAAAAAAATCTACCTTAAGTCTAATATTTTTATTTAAAGGAATATATATTATGTAACATGGGTTTCCCCAGAGGTTCAGCGGTAAAGAATCCACCTGCAATGCAAGAGACACAGGTTTGATCCCTGGATCAGGAAGATCTCCTGCAGGAGGGCATGGCAACCTACTCCAGTATTCCTGCCTAGAGAATCCCATGGACAGAATTACCTGGCGGGCTACAGTCCATAGGGTGGCAGAGAGTTGGACACGACTAAAGTGACCGAGCTTGCACACATGCACAACGTGAATACTGCCCTGGGATTATTCCTACTTAATTTTGGAGTACAACTTTATAAAAGCACTAAGAGCTGTTTTCTAAAGATACAGGTCGAAGTCAGAGCAGCAGGTCACCCTCCCCTGCTTTCTGTAACACAGGATAACACATCTCAATTTGTTTCAATTTGAAGTAATCCTGTACATTACAGTTCCTCAAGAACAGAGCCCCTTCAGGGCTCCTAAAAGTCGCTGGATTTGTAATCTGTAAATCAAGGCCAACTCCCAAGTCCTTGCTGGTTGCACTCAAGGGAACAATAGTCACAGCATCATATCTAAATAAAGAGTTACTTTTATATACATCCGCACATACAGTTGAACGCAGAGTGAGAGAAAGAGGAAGAACGCAAAAACGCTGAAATATACCTGCAACAATATAAGTCCCTTTCACTTCCACAGAAAATGTCACATAATCTTGATTTTAGAACCTGGAGGACTAATCTAATAGACATCGGTGCAGCCAATTTAAAGCAGCCACCAAGCAGAACATTTTATCTACTACAGAGAGGGAAAAAAAAAAAAGATAAACTTAGCAAGCTTTTTCTGAACCAGCTTTGTTGTGCATTGATTGGAAAGGATGGAGGAAATGAATGGCTGTTCTGTTTCTGTCAGGCAATTTCCTAAGACCAAGGCACACAGGAAAGGCTCCCTACAATTTGAAAGTCTGGTTGACAAGGAGCCATAGTAAGGGGCATTCATTTCAGAGCACTGACAACACCTCACTACCCAAGAATATTTATCTTTATCGTTATCATTATTCATTCAGTTGATAAAAGTCAGATTGCTCTTAAAAATCTTTCTGGGGCTCTGATGGGAAAATCCAACACTGAATCCTAGTCATACTTATTTTTGCTCATTGTGCTTTCTAATACAAAATGTTTATTTAACAAACAGAATATAGAAATGAAGTCAATTGCTTATAATCAGGAAATCAATCAAGGGTCAAAACCTTCTGCCAGACGATTTCAACTACAATATAAAATGCACTTATTTACATTACAGGAAAGGTACATTCTAAAATAAAGGAGTCCACATCAACTGGCACTTAAAACAAGTCTGTCCTCTTAAAAGCAACGTTCTATTTCAAATAATTTTAAATGACATTTAATGACTTCAAGGCAAATCCCTAGATGGAAACTGAAGACGAGCTATGGTGTGACAAAAGCTGACTTAGAATCACTCTGATAATGAAAATGTAAGCCAAAATCATTCCAAATAAATCTCACAGGCAAACTGCAAATGCCACACAGCTCTTTGTTAACTCAGGTTTTGCCAAGCTGTACAAACTGTCAAGAGTGCTCACGGCTTTCCTAAAAATAGACACAGGTATAAATGTTTAAGAAGGAAAGAAAAGCTTCCACTTAAAGCAAATGTCTTCCATATAGGATCAAGACTCTAGCACCGCAGAGCACACCCAGTCCAAGGAGAAGGAAAAGCTGTCGCCTACCGTCAAACTTCTTATGCCTGGACACGAACGTGGTGCGTACAAAGTGGCTTGTCCCCTCCACCAGGTTTTCAAACTCCAGCTTGCTCTGTTGACTGAGCTTGTCTTCCATTTCCGTGGTACAGCATGTGTACTCTTGAGGACAGATTCTCAAGTGTTCTCCTGCAAGAAGGAAGGAAATGTCAGCACAGAATGATCAGGCCTTCAGGGTGTTTGTTTCTCTGGCATTTCCCTCAAATACTGGGGTCTCTGTTTCACCAGCCCCTCAGTCCTGTCCATGGGCTTTTATCTGGGCCGCGGGGTGTCTACCATTCCAAATACTCCAGACTCAAGTTGAACGAGAGCCCACGGTCTGATAGTCTCTGGCCTCCCCAATAAATTCATGTGTTGAATCCTAACCCACAGGGTGACAATGTTAGGAGATGGGGACTTAGGGAAGTGTTTAGGTCATGAATGGGGTTGGTACCCACACTCAAGACCTAGAGAAGAGTCCCCCAAGAGACTGAGCTTGCCCTTTCTGCCACATGGGAACACAGCCAAAAGATGGGGTCTTGAATCAGGGAGTAGACCCTTACCAGGCACTGAATCCACAGTGATGTGATCTTAAACTATCCAGCCTCTGGAAATATGAGAAGTAAATGTTTGCTATTTATAAGCCACCCAGTTTATGGTATTTCTGTCGTAGCACCCAAAGTGACTAAGAGACCTGACATTTAGTTCCAGCCCCTGTCACATAAGGAGAGGTACATTAAAGACCTCAGAAGGCCACAGGGTCCCTGCTTTTATTCAAAATGTACCAAGTAACAACAGGTGACAAGAGATGCAACACAGTTATAAGTGTGCTTATCTTTAGAAACCTCGAGTTAGGCAAGAAACAGTCAGCCCATCACCATAGACTGTTAGACGGCGGGGGCAAGAAAAGATGGCAATCATTCACTAAGTTCTGTGCCTGCCCGTCCGACCATCAGAACGCATCAGCCTTCCTCCCTGTGAGACCAAGTGCGATTTTACTGGCAGGACCCCTATGCCACGCGTTCCCTTGGTTGACATTCCTTGTCAGAGAGAAATGTCTCCTGCAAGGGGAAAGACGCCGATGGGTTTAATTCATGCTTATGTAGTAGGGAAATGTAAAGTAAAAGCTAATGAAAGTTTTGGGTTTAATTCGATAGATTTATCTCTGGATATACTGGGCTGCTTCTTTTGACAATATTGCTTTCTTCAGTGCTATTCGCAAGTGGAAGCCAAACCCTTGCTTGCTTCATGAAATTAAAATGGTCTGTTATTGCATAAAATGTGAATTTCCAATTGATTCAGCTCCGTTAGTGTCAAAAATGTTTAAGAGAGCCAGTGGAGGGAAGAAGGAAAATCCACCCAACATTTTGCTAAATAAAACCAACAAATTGCCCCTGTGATTAAAATCACTGTAGGGCATGGAGAAAGCAAATGAACAGAGTACTTGATGTGGTGATTAAAATTCATTTATCATGTTTAACAGTACTTATGTAAAATTATGCCCCATGTGAAGTATAGGGTGCCTGTCTCATGATTCTTCATGAAGTTGGATGCTTTCATGCCTACTTAAAACAACCTCAGAATAAAAAAAAAAGGATCATAGGTCTGCATTAAAGTTAGAACTTAGTTCCTGAAAGGGAAGGAGACCATAAAACATTATGAATATCTTTTTTAAAAAGGAAGGAACATGCAGTGTACTTGAGAATGATAAACATCAAATTCAAGATAACTGTTTCCTCCCAGGAGGAATTAGGATTTGAGAGAAATGACCAAATACTTTTAGCTGTAATCTTTTACTTCATAAGTTGCCAGATATTTGCATGGTGTTTATTATATTACTATCATTACTTTTCTGTGCAATTCAAATATTTTCTAATAAAAGCTTAAACAGTATGTTATGAAAAAATTATACCAGAAAGGAGGGCAGGGGATACATATGCATGGGGCTTCCCTGGTGGCTCAGAGGTTAAAGCATCTGCCTGCAATGCAGGAGACCCAGGTTTGATCCCTGGGTCGGGAAGATCCCCTGAAGAAGAAAATGTCAACCCACTCCAGTATTCTTGCCTGGAGAATCCCATGGATGGAGAAGCCTGGTGGGCTACAGTCCATGGGGTCGCAAAGAGTCGCACACGACTGAGTGACTTAAAAGGAGGGCAGGGGGTACATATGCATAAAGACAAAACAAACTGCTCTGGACATTGAGAATCCAGCCTGGCACTCATGGCCAGGTCACCATAGTCTATTACACATAAACAAGCTCACAGAACACCCACCTCAGACAAGATCATTCTGACACCATGATGACATGAGACAAAGCAAGGCCACATAAAAATTTTGTCTAAACACAGACAAAAACAAGGTGATTGTGCCATCCAAAAGTACCAAAAATCTCCTCTCACTGGCAAGATGAGCATCTGTACTTTTACATTTATCCTTCTATTGATTGATCTTCATCATAGTCAACCCCCTTGCTGGTCACATTGGTTGAGATACCTTCCTATGGAATTACCTCCACTTTCTGAGAGCATTTGATCTAGGGTGAAGTGCTGCTTCTTTGAGCGCTTCCCACACATCATCCACCAAAATCCAAACCCTATCAAAGAATCTGTTAAAGTCCCTCTTGGGCTTCCCAGGTAGCACTAGTGGTAAAGAACCCGCTTGCCAATGCAGGAGACACAAGAGGCGTGGGTTTGATCCCTGGGTCGGGAAGAACACCTGGAGGAGTCCATGGAACCCACTCTAGTATTCTTGCCTGGAGAATCTCATAGACAGAGCAGCCTGGGGGCTACAGTTCATAGGGACTCAAAGAGTCGAGTACAACTGAAGCGATTAGGCACCCATGCCTGCAAAGTCCCTCTAACTGAGAAATCCTGAGATTCTATATGGTATATTCTCACTTGCTGCATTGAGTGATAACTCATTTGACACAGGTGTGTTCCTGATGGGCTCTGATTTGAAGGGGCAAACCATTCCAAAAGGGGTTGGGATAGGACATGAAAATTTTGAAATTTTTCCCCAAGTGCTTCTGAAACTCACATCCCATTGAGAAGCATAGTTCTAGAGTTGAAGAGACTGGAAAGGAATAAGTGTGGCAAATGGTCCACAAATCACTAATTTTCTTTTTAAAAATATTAAAACTAACTGATAAGCACAACACTGTTTCCAGATCAAATAGATATTTAATACTAACAACTCTGCAGAATGACCATTTCTCTGACCTGTTATAAACTACTAAAAAAAAACACTCTATTCCATTTCTACTATATTATGCACAAATGAAACATCCATTTCTCAGGATTTAGTAGTACATTGGGACTGCATTCTATTTCTGAATCATTACAAGTGAGTTTACAGCAAAAGGCATGGGACTTCTGGTGAAAAACTGACCAAAAGAAAATAAACATTTCATGATCTGAGGGTAATAGTTGTATTGGGGATATTTGTGAAAGAAATCCTGTGGATCTACATTCATGAAATTAGATGGATTGGTGGTTTTCTAATTTCTAATCGCTCCAAGAAAATCAGTATTTTATCTCAGGTGATAAATAAAAGGAGAAAGCTACTTTTTAGCAGGGCAAATTTAAACCAAACCTATTTCTTCTGTGTGTGTGTATAAGGCCATGAAGATACATGTAGGCAGTTGACTTACTAATGCAAAGCAGGGTGATATTTTTTTTAAATGAACTGTAGTGTCCTTAAGAAGGTAACTGATGTCTCCTCCTTTGTTCCTGGCAGAGAGAAAAACAAACAAAACTAAAGAGATGGAAAGGCAGAGATAGACAAATTAGAAAAAGTGAAGATATGGGTAAATCACCAGAATGTTGAAGAATCATGCTACAGGAGAGTGAATCTTTTATGCAAAGTGCCTCTTAGAGAACCTAGGAAGAGACCACGATGTCCCCAAACAAACAGAACCAGAGGTCATGAAACATGCAGTCCATTGAGACTGAGCCTTGCTTCCTTCCTAATGCATCACTGGAGAAGAAGGTTGTGGAGGAATTAAATTCTTAATAGCTCCTCTCTCCCCCTCATCAGAGGCCACTGATAACTGTGAAAACAACTGATGAGTTTGAATGGCCAAAAAGACTTAGGACCACTGGCTAATTCTGTTTTGAGTGACTGTGTTAATCTGTTTCAGTTTTGACCCTAGAACAGGGTCAAACATAGCCTCTGGCCCAAATTCAGTCTGCCATCTGTACTGGTAAGACTGGTAAGAAAAATTGTTTTTAAAAAAATTTTAAAAATGATATTATGTGCTCTGTGATGCTTTATGAAATCCCAATTTAACTGTCCATAAATAAAGTTTTATTGAATAACAGTCCCACCCACTCATTTATACCTTGTTTATGGCTGCTGTAGGGTTAGAAGAGCAGAGCAGTTATGAAAGAGACCATAAGGTCTGTAACACGTGAAGTATTGACTTTCTGAAATCAGACATGACAGCTACTTGGCTGGATAAAGTATTACCACTCACAATTTCTCCACAGAGCAAGAATATGAAACTTTTCTCAGCTTACATACTTCCTGACACTTACGAGTATTTTTATTAATAATGGGTTTCTTCCCAAGTTGTAATTTATGAAGGTGAAAAAATTCGTTGTCCTTTTAGAGTTTGCCACCCACACTCCTTTCTCAGATCCCCTTAGGTTCCCTGTATGTTACCTATTCCACAAGTAGATATAATATTTAACTCAATTGGATCACCACCAGGCACCTCCAAGATCACTAATAATAAAGATACTAAATAGATGGTTCTGGAAGGTCAGGATAAGAGACAAAAACGGCAGAAAATGTAAGGCTGAAACTTTGATGACTGTGCCTTGACATATCAAACATGTATTGAAAACCTCCTCTGTGTAAATCATGATGATAGGTTCACATCCAGGAAGATTAGATGCAAGGTCAGGCAATCAGTTTATACATGTGATTGTTTTTTAGGGCACCTGAAGTTCAGGCTAGTGAATTCCCAACTTCCTAAATTTTTACAGAAATCATCATTAGCTCTAAAATAAACATTGGTATTACTCAGCCATAAAAAATAATGAAGTAATGATATCTGCAGTGGAAAGAATGGACCTAGAATTGTCACACTGAGTGAAGTCAGAGAAAGACAAGTATCATATGATATTGCCTATATGTGGAATCTAAAA